TCAAGGGCAGTCTATTACTTCAACCTTGGTCATCTACTCCCCTGTTCAACGAACAGATCGCAGACACGCACGTCAAATTCCCAAAAAGCTTGGAAAGTCCAAGCGGGCTGGCAAGTCAGGGAATTATAAGCCTAGACGCGCGTTTCTCAGGGAAGACCAGCATTCCCTTACTGAGAAAGGGAGTGGCAGAGACAAGTCTCAAGGACGATTTCGTACTTATCGCACTATATCATGGTGTCCGTATAAGGGTAGCGATAACCCCACCGTTGACCACAGTTTGATTGGGAAAATCCAACATAGTCATACTGTTGGTAAGAAGAGCTGTAGAGTGGGTTCACAACCCAGTCTTTACTCCGGGGTTTTATCCTCACACGTACCTGGTACTCATGAAGGACCCAGACAAGATGAGAATGATCCACAATCTCTGTGTTCAACGAACGTTTGATTCTTCATCAGTCTCGACTATCCATCCCAACCGTAGACTTTTCAGGTCCAGTTCATTGGGGTTCACTACCAGTGGTAGTATTTCCCATTTGACATGTCAGTGACACTTATGGCTATTTACAGGAGTAATGAAGCCAATAACTATCTACACGTGACGAACACTTGGTTCGAATCGTAGATGGAGGGCGATCTACTGTATCATCAACACATGTCAATAACTGGGATAGACAATCAACGAGGCGAAGTCGGGAGTATTCTCCTTCCTATCTGTACCGAGGGACAGATGGCACAAGTTTCTACTTCTTTTGTCATCTACTCTACACCAACCACACACACTTCGCCAGTGGCAAGTGTTGCTAGGGTTAATCACCTCGGCACAGGAGTTAACTAGCATGGGCCGCTTACAACTGCGACCAATTCAATTTTTTCCTGAACCCTTACATCAGGAGTCAGGATCCACTCAAGGCCATCACTCTACCGACTAAGCTAGAGCCTTGCCTCAATTTGTGGCGCTGAATGTCTGCGGAGTCTGTTTATTCGGGTTTTCCCCGAATACACACCTGTTTGTGGACGTCCCCTTTCAGGGGTGGAGTCTTCACTTACAAGACCAGATAAGCTCAGGGCTATGGCCCGGCGCACAATGGAAGTGGCACATAAACAACTTGGAGTTGGAAGCTTTAATTCTGGCTATATCACATTGGCAGAATCAACTACAGTTAGCCCGACTCGCTATATCCACAGACAACAGCACTGCGGTGTGGTGCCTGTGCAATCGGGGAACAACACACTCCCACTCTCCACTTCTAAGGACATTCAGATTTCTTCCATCTAGTGGATCGGCTGTGACTAAGGTTCATAGTTCAGCACATCCCCGGATGTAGAAACATACTGGCCGATACTTTATCACATCCAGACAGGGTGGCTCCCACCGAGTGGAAATTTCTCACAGAAGCATTCCAGTTACTGCTTCAGGAATTCAGGCAACCAAACATTGACTTGTTTATTACTTGCCTAGGCCACCAACTCATGACGTATATCTCCCCATTGCCGGATCCGCAGACTTGGGCGGTGGACGAGTTCAGTATCACTTGGGAAGGGCAAAGAACTAACACTCTTCTGCCACCACTTTTACTTCCCAAGGTGCTACAGGGGATCAAGGAGACAAGGTATCTCGATCTCTCCTTTGGTCGCACCCTGGTAACCGGCGAGAGGGTAGTTTGTCAAGCTCGGAAAAATCTAAAACGATTCACTTCCCCTCTCACAGTGGTCCAACCTACTCATCCACCCTCAACAGAAAATTGCCTCACCCAATGTCTGCACGCATGGTTCGTCTTTAAAAGGCGTTTAAGTGCGAAGGGTTATTTCGACACGGGCAGCAAAGCTATAGCTTTAGTTCATCGTTACTCTCCCAGAGACGACGATGACAAGTGGGGATCACTTGAGACTTTTTACAGGGAAGAAAAGAATCAAGACCCTACGATTGCGTCACAATTCCTAGAGGAATACTTCCTACATTGCGTACCCAAAACACTTCGAAGGTAGCATCATTACTACGTAATTGGCTGCAATTATCTTAGTGTTGGCCGTTTCTGGAAAATCACAGTGTGATTAAGGTCACGGAACTACAGGCCATATTATGCTCATTCAGGTTTGAGGATCAGAAGGCCAAGTTCCAGCCACCTGATTGGGACTTGAACATGGTACTTCGAGGTTTGCGAGGGCCCCCCTTCGAGCCCCTCATTGCATCCTCATTTTCAAGCTCCTTCCCAGCGCGTGACACCTTCGTTACACTCTCGGTATAGTAAAGAGAGCTCCGCGAACGTGCTAATTCTGTGAGGAGTTTGGACATCACCAAGGAAACAATGGTTTCTCTTGGCATTAGCAATGGCGGTACGGGTGAGCGAACTACATGTGATCGACTCAACCCGGATCCGTTTTGAGCATGGGACGCACGGAACGGGACATCTAGGGTTATGCTGGGATTTTATTGCTAAAATCTACTACCAGGCCAACCCGACCGTTCCTTCACCATCCCACCGATATCGACTATTGTGGGAATCGTACATGGTGAAGCTCTCCTGGGCTCGGTGCGAGCAGTTCGAGTTTTCATTCGACGCTCCAAGACTAGGCGTGGTTCGTCCACGACAGAAGTTAGTCGCATAATCGCAAACACCAAATCTCTATGGTTACGCGCAGTAATCCTTCAGGCCTACAAGATCATCAAACGGAACTCGCCGAGAGCGAATTACCCTCAAGATCTCAAGGTGTCAGCCTTACCAGGGCTCAACACGGCAATTGTGGTTTTGGAATAATCACGGAAGGATATTTCTGGAGATTCGACACATATTTTCGTTAGTCATAACCTTCGCGTTGGGGCTCTCGAGGATGTCGAAGACATTCGAAGTTTGGCCCTCTGGTTGTTATCCTGCAGATTGCCAACCCCTGACGCAAATAATGAATTCGCCCTATACAGAGCCAGTCAACTTCCATGTGCAGTCACTCAGTCGCCACCAGTGGAAGAATATTAGACAATCTTGTTTGTCAGCGACGGCTCTATGACCCAGTAAGTAAAGAATTAGCTGAATAGCTATTATTTTCTTTATTACTAAGCGTGTATAGGGAATTTCTCTTTAATTCCTATGTTCAATCTTTTTGATTTTTGAACAACCCGCTTCACGGTTAATCGACCAACTGGTGTCGTATTGCAGGGTGTGAATTATTGAGGTTTCTGTATTCTGAAGGTTTACCCACCTCCAAACCGTCCAATACAGATGCATTAAGGAGTAATGCAGGATAAGTAAAAAATTTAGTAAAATCTAAATATTTTTTACATTTGTATACTTATCCTGCATTACTACGCTTAAGGCCCACCCGTCGTTAGACTTGCCTCCCCACTTTGGCTTCAGAAACCTCAAAAGTATGTTTTTCTAAGAGCTTGGGCGACAGGCAGTGATGTGAAGATGACCTTAGGTGTCATCAAGGTCACAGGACAGCGACGGACGGCCACTGATTGGGACTTGAGAACAACAACTTTATATCTTCACCCAGGACCTTCGCAGTGCTGTCCTTCTAGTTGTCGTAAGTAAGCAGTGAATGCATTAAGGAGTAATGCAGGATAAGTATACAAATGTAAAAAATATTTAGATTTTACTAATACTCCAAGTAAAAATACATGAACTACCCTATATCGCCATCTATAAAGGGACCCCACGTATAGGACGACCCCCCCAAACCCTGTACAAGCCTGCAAAATTGATGCTAATTTATATACCCCGTCTATAAAGCATAGAGGAATGAAGCACATCACCAGCGCATACACAATCCCTACATTTGCAATAAAAACGTGTTTGTCTTCCGCAGAAAACAATCGTTTCCCTTCAGCGATCAGGTAAACAAACAGATCATAACAATTAAACCTGGTCAACACAAATTTGATAGTTGAGATAGCAAAAACACTAGACATGATCATTTACCGATTAAATTGTATTTCCTGTTCTGATTGGCATTCTTTTATATGCAGATTAAGATTAATGTGCATCTTGTCTCGTAAACTAAGCCGGATGAAGCAATCAGCTGTACACACCAGATTTGGTTAATAATTACCCAATAATATAATTTTAAAGAATCTTGATAAAATAATAGAAAAAAACTGAATCTGAAACTATTATTTTATTCGGAATAGTTTATTCCAATATCATGTTATTTTAGTAGTATTTTACTATATATATTTGATACATTAATAACCATATGTGTAGCACTTTGGTACAGCTGATCGCTATTGACGGATATTTTTTTCTTATGGAACAATTTGACCAATCACTGCCGATGCTTCCTGCTCGCACTTGTGAAAACTTTATGTTTACAAATTATAGTCAAACTACAACAAATACCACTTTCAGTGAGTCAAAGTATGGCATTTATGATACATATATCCATTCTCTATCCATCAAAGTTTACCTCAAGGCGTCAATAGCGGTAATATGACCGTGGTTGCTGTAAATAACGGTGAGTTGTGTGACCTTCTGATCGCTTCACATACGATTTTGCTGGAATGAAAATAACAATATTGAATGAAATTTTGAATAAAATTAATATAAGAGATAACAAAGGTAAGTCCAGATATATAATGAACTGTTTTTATAACCAGACAGTGTAATTACATGATTACTTTGCGTACTTCATTACAGATTTGTTGACATGGTGTTGTCCGGTGTTACCTGCTCACCGTTATGTCTGAGTTGGGGGGAAAAAACATCAAAACTCTTCAACCCTGTGTATAAGACAACCCCCCTTGAAAGCCTCCTAATTTGATGTATGAAAAACTCGCCTTATACACCGCGATATACAGTATTCTGTTCTCATGCCCATATATCAGACCACAAAATGGAAACATATGTCCCTTGATTAAAACACTATCAGCAAACAAAGACTGGCGAGGAAATTGTGTTGAAATATGAATTGCATAGAGAAAGTCCTAGCTATAGTCCTGAACTGAAAGGGGTTGTATTTCATGAAAAGGTTGATGGTTAATTATGGTGAATATGAACGTGTTTCAGGTAACGATCGTGGGCTTGGTGCGGACAGTGAAAGAGTCTCCGACACGAATTGATTATGAGATTGATGACATGACTGGCCCTCCTCTGGAAGTTAAACAGTTTGTGGACAATGATGTAGGTACTCTGTAAATAAACACTTGTATGTTCTGATTGTATTTGGGAAATTACTAGGGTGTGTCACAATTGACTGATGCTTCACAAGCACTGAACACAGTCCAACATTAAACACTAGTAGTGGGACGATACACTGATGCTTCACAAGCACTGAACACAGTCCAACACTATACACTAGTAGTGGGATGATACACTGATGCTTCACAAGCACTGAACACAGTCCAACACTATACACTAGTAGTGGGACGATACACTGATGCTTCACAAGCACTGAACACAGTCCAACACTATACACTAGTAGTGGGACGATACACTGATGCTTCACAAGCACTGAATACAGTCCAACACTATACACTAGTAGTGGGACGATACACTGATGCTTCACAAGCACTGAACACAGTCCAACACTATACACAAGTAGTGGGACGATACACTGATGCTTCACAAGCACTGAACACAGTCCAACACTATACACTAGTAGTGGGACGATACACTGATGCTTCACAAGCACTGAATACAGTCCAACACTATACACTAGTAGTGGGACGATACACTGATGCTTCACAAGTACTGAACACAGTCCAACACTATGCACAAGTAGTGGGACGATACACTGATGCTTCACAAGCACTGAACACAGTCCAACACTATACACTAGTAGTGGGACGATACACTGATGCTTCACAAGCACTGAATACAGTCCAACACTATACACTAGTAGTGGGACGATACACTGATGCTTCACAAGCACTGAACACAGTCCAACACTATACACAAGTAGTGGGACGATACACTGATGCTTCACAAGCACTGAATACAGTCCAACACTATACACTAGTAGTGGGACGATACACTGATGCTTCACAAGCACTGAATACAGTCCAACACTATACACTAGTAGTGGGACGATACACTGATGCTTCACAAGCACTGAACACAGTCCAACACTATACACTAGTAGTGGGACGATACACTGATGCTTCACAAGCACTGAATACAGTCCAACACTATACACTAGTAGTGGGACGATACACTGATGCTTCACAAGCACTGAACACAGTCCAACACTAAACACTAGTAGTGGGACGATACACTGATGCTTCACAAGCACTGAACACAGTCCAACACTATACACTAGTAGTGGGACGATACACTGATGCTTCACAAGCACTGAACACAGTCCAACACTATACACTAGTAGTGGGACGATACACTGATGCTTCACAAGCACTGAACACAGTCCAACACTATACACTAGTAGTGGGACGATACACTGATGCTTCACAAGCACTGAACACAGTCCAACACTATACACTAGTAGTGGGACGATACACTGATGCTTCACAAGCACTGAACACAGTCCAACACTATACACTAGTAGTGGGACGATACACTGATGCTTCACAAGTACTGAACACAGTCTAACACTAAACACAAGTAGTGTCCAACATTATACACTAGTAGTGGGAAGATGGTGATGTTTTACTTCTCGATACAAGCATCAATCACAGTCTCTAAGTAAAACTTCTTACCTTACATGTTTGCTTTTATAACTGTTACACCAAACACTAATTAGTAGTGAAAAAGTAAATATTTTCATCTATTGAGGCCATACTTGGCACTATCATCTGTAAAAAGTCAATGTGCCAGCTATTTGGCCATCCTGTCTTTGAAAAAGATGGCCTAGCCTGATAACTACTTTTAACTAGAAACAAAATACTAGATCTAACTGCAGTAATGTAGGATAAGTATAATAAATACAAATATATATAATAGAGGTGTAACGATACGGGGTGGTCGCGATACGATATGTATCAGTGTTTACTGGTACAAGCTAAGCCAAGTTGATGTCTTTCTGCTCTCTAAAAGATGTGACAAGTACAGTTGAAGAAGATATAAGGTGTTTATTTACTGTTGTAGCAAATTGTCAGCAATACAGTATGTTTTACTGAAACAACAAACTGGCTTTGAAACTGTTAAACGTATTTCATGTATTTTCTTGAGTATAGTGCACACCAATGTATAATGCGCACCCCCCTCTAGCGGGTTCAATATTTTGGAAAAAAAGAAATTTGAATATTATGCGCAGAAAAAAATTACACCGTACCCCTTTAGCGAAGTCCGGCAAACGAACGGGTGATGAGAAACTTTGTCAGTACAAATTTCGAAATTTGTGATAAAAAATCACCAGACATGTTGACTTACCGTTTAAACTGTATTTTTTGTTCAGCTAGGCATTGTTTTATATCCAGGGATTAAGATTACCTTGTGTATTTGCTCGTAAACTAAGCCGGACACAGCAATCAGCTGTACACAAGTTTTCTTGGAATCAACCTGTGATTCAGTCAAGACACACCCAATGATATAACTTTACAGAATTTTAATGCAAGGATCGGCAAAAGTTGTATCTGAAACTTTTTTTTTATCAGGAATAATATATTCCAATATCTTGTTAATTTAGATGCAGCTTTTACTAAACATATTTAAAATAATAATAATAACCCTAAGCGAAGCAGCTGATCGCTATTGCCGGGTATTATTTTTTACATGGAACCAGTCTGACCAGTCACCGTCAAGGCTCCCGTGCACGTGATCGCGAGAATTACGTGTTGACATAGAATCGTCCAACAAAAACAAATATGACTTTTAACGAATCAAAGTATGGCATTTATGATATATTTATCCATTCTCTGTCAACTAAAGTTCGTTTCAAGGCGCCAATAGCGGTAATCTGACTGTGGTTGCTGTTAATAGCGGTGAGTTGTGCGATCTTCCGATCGCTTCACACACGATTTCGCCGAAATTAATTAAAACAATATTAAAAAGGAATTTTGAATAAAATTAATGAAATGAGTTACAAACATAAGTCCAGATATACAAAGAACACTTTTTATAGCCAGACAGTGTAATTACATGAATAATTTTCGAACTTCAGTATGGATTTGTTGACATGGTATTTCCGGTGTTACGTGCTCACTTTAATGTCTTTCCATGGGGGAAAAAACATCAAAACTCATTAATTCGTGTATAATGCGCACCCCCTTGGAGGTCATCCACTCAAACGTCACTTTGTCCAGTGGTCAGGTCAGTAGAGCAGGACTCCGCAGTTACTCATTCCCCTCCACACTGCTTTTCACCTCCTCAGGGGTAATGCGCACCCCCTTCTGCAAAAAAGTGGGCACTATATTCAAGAAAATACGCTAAGTAAAACTGTGTTATGAAAATATCGTATGTATTGCGATACATGCTTTCCAAATCGATGCATCGTATCGTGGGCTGTGCATCGGGATACAATACTGTATCGCCGTATCGTTACACCACTAATATATAAATATCTCGGATTTGACTAGCACTGTAGTTTGCAGGGCATGTAACATGTGATTGAAGTGGTTGTGTAGGTGCATGTACAGCTGTTACTTCCATGTGTCCCTGGCTCATGTCCCCACTCTGTTACCAGGAGAACCTGCCTGAGGAAGAGCGGGTGCAGGCGATGAGGGAGAACACCTATGTCCGTGTGTACGGCCATCTCCGCTCCTTCGCTGGCAAACGCAGTGTCGTGACCTTCAAGATGACCCCCCTGACTGACATGAATGAGCTGAGCTGTCACATGCTGGAGGTCATCCACTCACACGTCACTTTGTCCAGTGGTCAGGTCAGTAGAGCAAGACTCCGCAGATACTCATTCCCCTCCACACTGCTTTTCACCTCCTCAGGGGTAATGATAAGTCTTTTAAGACAGATTAGGATCTTTGGCAAAAATCAACGAATGGAACAGCCTGCAGGATAGTTTCTGTGAATAAATTGACAATTAGACATCTATATGTTTTTGGAAACCTCTTTATGCAAGGTGATTGCAGATTTTCTGCATTGTACAGCAATTGTGAGCAGAACATTTGCAAATTGTATGTTTTTAATGGGCGAAAAAAGTGGTTCATGAATTTTGCATGACAATCAAAGTCTATCAGCTGAAATGTGGACATAGTCAATTAGATGACTATGGTTGTGCTTGGTTGTACATTCCTGCTATGTACTGTTACATTGGTAGAGGAAGTAGTTGTGCCATGGACTGCCAGACATTCCTGCTATGTACTGTAACATCAGTAGTCTATGCTGGATGTTACAGGGTGCTGGAGGTGGTGCGATGGCGTCGGTCAACAGTGGTGCTGGCTTCAGTGACGTGGGCAGCGGTGGCGGCGGCAGCAGCACTATTCCTGGACTTTCCCCACTACAGTCACAGGTACGAGGTGTTCCTTTCTCTCCATTATTTAGAGAGTTATAGCCCTTGCTCTGTGCTTTTCAACTGTGCATACTTCGTGAAATGGGGACAGGTTTCCACAGAAACTAATGAAGTTACATAAATAAAAGTTTACATGCCTATCTAAAAGATACTTGTCAAGACTGAGTTCGAAAATTGGTCCAGTAAGTTATTTATTTACAGAGTTATGGCCCTTGATCCATGTTATTTTACTTGGTGCATTGTGTGTGCGATGTTTCTCTGAAACTACTGAAGTTAGCTTATCTAAGAGATACTATACTAGAGGCCTATCATAAGTGTAGGCAGCTTTATAGATATAAATTGCAAAGGAATTTAGAGAGGACCATCTGGATATCAGTTCCCATACCTGTGTGTGAAGACCACTGAGGTTTCCCTTATTAAATAAACACAGTTGGATGTAGATGAAATATTTCTGACATTTTACCTTGTTTCATTTTGTCGCTGTGTGGGATGTCTGGCTGCATTTTGCAATACTGTTAGAAAACTTTGTGGCAGACCATGCAGTCTCTAAGCAAATGTGGTATTTCCTAGACAAGAAGAGCTTCTGTTTGGGTGCAGTTACTCTTGTGGCAGTCCAATGGATCCGGGAAAGGCAATCATTGACACTCACGTGATAGATAACCTCCATAACTATTGTTTGAAAATGCCCAGTGTTAGAATTGTCTTGAAGACTAGAAGTTTGTAGTTTCAATACTCGAACAACTCTATGAAGAATTATTCAGTGATTTAGAAAGCTTTGAGGAATAGCTTTTCATGGAACGTTGTGTTGTACAAGGATTATTACGTTCAGGTTTGCTGCCATCCATTCTCTCTGTGCACTTCTTTCTTTCCCTCCACTAGATTCAGCTGATCATAAAGAACCACCCATCTGACACTGGGGCCAGCATTGATGCCGTGTGCAAACAACTCCGCAATGTGCCAGAGCAGCAGATCAGGTCAGTGTTGCAGAAATGACAGATTGCATCCTTAGAACACATCACTTGTCATAGAGCAATTAATGAGGTGGTTAAAATTTGTGACTGGGCTGATGTTTGTCTTTGTTCATCAGCTTCTTGTGTGACTCCCAGACTTTTTTACAGGTATAATTCAGATATGATAAGATAGCTAGGATATCGCTGACTGTCGTGTGAAACAATACTCACTCACTCACTCGCGGAGAGGGTGTGTTAGATCATTGTGGATCGACAGTGAGGTGTGAAGACTCCAGCTCTACATCAGCTTCATCTTCATTCAGCTTCTACAATTCTGATTTTCTTGTGTTTGGGTGACTGATGTAAGGCAGCACCATGTCTCTATTAGGGTACACTGGTTCATATACCGGAGCCTGTCCCATTATACCCATGCTCCTACTTCACAAGAGTAATAAGCCAACCTGTCAGTACTGAATACTCTGACGATATGGCTGAAATATTGCCGATGTCATGTTAAATATTAACTTGTGCTCTCACAAATACTGTGAAATGACTGAAATACTGTAGCATTAAAACAAATCTTCCTGCTCAGTTTTATATGGTGTTGAGAAAAAAAGTAAAAGCTTTTGTTGGCTTTAGTGTTGAGACATGCTGGTCCTTCTCTATGATGAAGACCCTTGGTATACGACATTACAAGAAGGGCTGAACACCCCTTCAGATCCAAGATAAAACTTGATCAATTGCAAATTGCTGAAGTACATATATATATATATGGGGACTATATACACTCCCTGAATTGTGTATGAAAGGGATTACATTTGTGCAGTGGAATATTGAACTCTACAAAATAGGAACCTTGACATGTTTTTGTGACGGATCCAAAATAATTTGTTTGACGTTTATTGCAGAGAAGCGGTTGACTTCCTGAGTGGCGAGGGGCACATCTACTCCACAATAGACGAGGACCATTACAAGGCCACAGATGGTTGACCTCATTCAGTGCTGGATCTCACCATTGTGTAGCCTGTGACAAACAATGCTAGAAGGTCAGGTCTGGACATTGGAGGGAAGTTGTGAGCATGTGTTTACCTCCAGAAAAGAAGGGATGTATTGGTGTGGAACATCTACCCCTGTCCAGTACACCACAGCTGTAATTATGTATATACACTGACAACATTAAATGTAAAATAACTCATCTTGTGTTGGTGTTGTGTTGCAAATTATGTCTATGACACTATTGATTGGCATTTAGAAGTTTGTAGTTTATTCACCCTGATGAAAGGGCGACAAGTGTCTCCAAAAGTGTTGATTATCCAATATATAAGCAAATATTTATCATAATAAAAGTGCTTTGTTGACTTTATTTATTCAAAAGATATGATGTTATGTAATTGAGCTAGTTTCTATGGATGTCAGCACAACAGATAAAGGGGAAGCTTGTGGACAGCAATGGGTGCAGGTCCAGAATAATGGTAGGCCCACTTGAAAGGTTTGGGTTTTTGTGGTAACCATTGTACCCGATTTCCTGGTGGATACAATAGCAGCTAAATGTGAACATGGCCTCTATGTTTGACTAAAAGATGATATTTTCTTTGTGTCCATCAACATCTGAACATTATAGCATCCTCCACCCGTGTCATGCTGTATCTCACTTTCAGGTAGCAGGTGATGCATTATCACCAGCTCATTGGTGTGCCATTATTTTTATGAACTTCCTACATGTTTTTCTCACATGTGTAGATGTACATGACCCTAATCATCAGTTCTCAGTATTCCTTGAAATACGTGGGGGCAGGGATAGAGAGGTGAGGGCAGGGACAGGGATAGAGAGGTGAGGACAGGGATAGAGAGGTGAGGGCAGGGATAGAGAGGTGAGGGCAGGGACAGGGATAGAGAGGTGAGGGCAGGGATAGAGAGGTGAGGGCAGGGATAGAGAGGTGAGGGCAGGGACAGGGATAGAGAGGTGAGGGCAGGGCAGGGATAGAGAGGTGAGGGCAGGGCAGGGATAGAGAGGTGAGGGCAGGGATAGAGAGGGCAGGGCAGGGATAGAGAGGTGAGGGCAGGGATAGAGAGGTGAGGGCAGGGATAGAGAGGTGAGATAGAGGTTGGTAGGGATAGAGAGGCGGGGGCAGAGATAGAGAATGGGACAGGGATAGAGAGGTGAGATAGAGGTTGGGGTAGAGATAGAGAGGTGAGATAGAGGTTGGGGTAGAGATAGAGAGGTAAGATAGAGGTTGGGGTAGGGATAGAGAGGCGGGGGCAGGGATAGAGAGGTGAGGTGGAGGGGGGATAGGTAAGGACGGGAGGGACAGACGAGGGAGTAGAGTTCATGACACTAAAACTGTCCTTACTTTTCACTTGCAGTGAACTAATTGTTGTGTTGTACCAAATGTAGATACAGTTTTACAAAACTAGGCAGTGTAGAAACAAAACAGCCTCAGAATCAGCAGCAGCAGATTCCAAGGGAGATCAGTTCAGTTTCCTGATGTTGATACTCTTCATTATTTACTTGCCAATACTGGAAGCTTTATACTTTTTACCCCCCCCCCCCCCCAGCATATAATGTGCTGGGGGATATAGCGATCAGCCAGTCTGTTTGTCCGTCTGTAATCATTTCCTTTTTCGGGGCAGAACTCGAAAACAATTCAGTGTATTTGATCGAAACTTGGCATATCTATCAGTCACATACTGAAGTTGTGCCTTTTGCTATTTAGGAATTTTAGAAATTTTTATTTTTTACGTTTCCATGGTAACAAGTTGGACTTAAGGGTGGCATTCGTTTCCGGAGCGTAACTCAAAAACAGTTAAATACTTTTTTACAAAACTTTGCATGTCTACCAGGCACATATTGAACTGGTGCCTTTTGCTATTTAGGAATTTTTATTTGTTACGTTTCCATGGCAACCAGTTGGACTTAGGTTCTATAGGGTAGAGTTCGTTTCCAGAGCGTAACTCAAAACCCATTCAAAACTTTCTTACAAAACTTTGCATGTCTATCAGACTCATGCTGAACTGGTGCCTTTTGCTATTTAGGAATTTTAGAATTTTTTATTTTTTTTATGTTTACATGGTAACAAGTTGGACTTAGGTTCTATAAGGGTGGTGTTCGTTTCCGGAGCATAACTCAAAAACTGTTAAATACTTTCTTACAAAACTTTGCATGTCTACCAGGCACATACTGAACTGGTGCCTTTTGCTATTTAGGAATTTTAATTTTTTTATTTGTTACGTTTCCATGGCAACAAGTTGGATTTAAGTTTTCATCTGTGTATGTCATCTTTCCGATGACTCTTGTCTATCTGGCAAATAGCAGTGACACATGGGTGTTTTCAGTTCTGTACAAATGGGGTGTACAGGTGCCTCAATTTTCTAGAAACCTGATTGCTGGTTCAAATCCCAGATTCCCATAACTTTTACCATGTTGGTGAAACCCTTAATTAAATTAAGGGTTTACACCAACATCAAGCTGATATAACTGAGATGGTCTTCAAAGCAATGCTAAAACCCAACACACAAGGATCAAAGACTTCAGGGAGACTCTTTTTCAAATCGTTTATCCAAATCATACACAGAAAATACATTTGGTCTCTGATTGGTCATAAAATTTATTTCAAATCATAAAATCCTACAAAATGGTATAGATAAATGCTTTCACATCAGAATTACTGAGTGCACACTTCTAGTTCGCTGAGAGATGTAACAAGTCATCGACACTAGGGGTGACTGATGGCTCAGTTGTCGGTGATGCAAAGGGCCGTGCGGAGTTGCCAATGAATGTGGATATAGTGTCTTCCCTAAGGGCGGAAGGTTGGTGGTTCGAAACTGGGCCTCATACCAAAAGACATTTAAGATTACACTGTTGTTACCCTGCCTGGCGTCGGCATTAAGGAGCCTTAACAAGGACTGGTTGGATCAGAGTCAGTGTACTGTGTTTGAGGTATTCATGTTAAACTAGCATGGTGTCTCATTTGACTAGCACTATAAAACCGGACTAGTACAAATGCACTCCCACCCATCGCTGTTAAAGCGCAGTAATCTTGAAAACGATGTTGGCGACCATTCCACTCCAGTTAAATAATTATATTATGTTTTCAGATAGCGACAGTAATCCACTAAATACACAATAAATATATATATATTGCCAAACATTTAGATAAGACACGAAATAATACAGTGCCAGGCATATCAGACAGAGACAACCACAATGAAAGAGTACAATGTTGACAGCCTGCAACACAACTTGAACACTATGCTATCACCATCTACACCATGAAGGTGCCAAAGTTATTTGTCGATCTCTTTGTTATCCCAGACTCTTTGGATACGACATAGATAGTATCGCCTTCCTTCAGGAGAAAGATGCCCTCCAACAGGGAGGTCTGTTCTTGGCTGGACATGGTCTTGTACATCAGCTTCTTCTTCGCCCCGTTGGTCTCTTTGCGCATGAGCATGTGGTCAGTCTGTGGGGTCAGCAGGAGATGTGAGTAGATGTAGTAGAAGCCGGACACGGACACCCGCAGCTGCTGTTCATCCACCACCTCAATCTCAGCCTTTACCTCACAGCTCCAGTGCAAGGGGGATAATTCAGTATCTGTAACCGAGCGACAGGTTTTCTTAACTTCTGACTTGACTGTTATATGCCATACATGTATACCACAATCAGCCATAAAGCACTTCTATATCTGATCATATGAAAGGATGATGAGGCTGTCAACATGCGTAATCTCAATCCTTTGCTCTCATTACCACTGTATCATACACCTACACGTGAAAAGGGAGGTGTTTTGGTCAGTACATCTACTGTTAAGAAACCATGTCAATGAGGCTTGAAGTGGGGTGCAATATGAGTCAATCAATCAATCTTTATTTCTAAATACGGAGAAGGCCATAAGCCTATTGAACATGTATTCCAAGTCTTTATCAAAGTCTTGTGTCAAATAAAACTGTTTGCAATTCAGATAGAATTCTTCCCAAATATTCAAAATATTTCCAGTACACAGTTGATTGAAGATCATGACTTTTCTGAGGTGGTAAAATTGATGTATATGAAATGGCTTCCTTTTGAATATTTAAGAAGAGGAAACCTCTGTAGCCTGTGACACAAAGGCATTTGCGAAGAACAACTTGTTCACACGTAACAGGTGTTATATTTGGGATTAATTTTAGTCACAGGATTATTATGGGGTTTAAAGCCATTTTGTATTCATAACTTGTTACATCTGCAGTAGTAACTGATCATGTTTTTGTTCAGCATAGTGTGGTTTTGTAAGAGCATAGAACTCAAAAGTACTCTTTTAAAAGATCTCATGGGTGCGTTTGTTTAATATTTGTGCCGAAGGTGGCGGCAGTTTGAAAGGGAAATAAAGTGTGTCACTTTTGTTGCTGAGTGTGAAGAATAGTACTGTTAGCTGAAAGTCTGAGATGGACTCAAAGGAAACTGAGCACGTCTTTTGTAGACATTTTGGGTTTTTAGAAAAAATAGAGCTGCAGTTTGCTTATATACTCACTGACTGTAGTGATATAGCTGTAGTCAGTCTACATAACTACATACTGTCTGCAGTGAGCCTACATATCGATCCCCGACCGCGTCATACCAAAAGACGTTTAAAAATGGTACTTGTTGTTACCCTGTCTGGCGCTCGGCATTAAGGGGCTCAAACAAGCACTGGTCGGCTCGGAGTCAGTACACTGTGTCTAAGTGGGGTATTCATGTTAAACTGCGGCATGGTATCTCAGTGGACTAGCTCTATAAATCGGCATCAGTCCGGACTAGTACGTCGCCATAAGTGCAATAATCTTGGACTCGACGTTAAACCCCATTTCACCTCACCTACATACTGCCTGTAGTGAGTCTACATACCTACATACTGTCTTTTAGCGAGTCTACATATCTACATAATCCTTGTAGCGAGTCTACATATCTGCATACTGCCTGCAGCGAATCTACATTACTACACACTGTCTGTAGCGTGCCTACATATCTACACACTGTCTGTAGCGAGTCTACATATCTACATACTGCCTGTAGCGAGTCTACATATCTAAATACTGCCTGTAGCGAGCCTACATATCTACATACTGCCTTTATCGAGTCTACATATCTACATACTGCCTGTAGCGAGTTTACATATCTACATAATGCTTGTAGCGAGCCTACATATCGACATACTGTCTGTTAGGGAGTCTACATATCTA